GACGCGACGAGGGTAGCGGAGGATGAAGAGGAGTGTTGGTTTATGGTGTTGGAAGGGTGAAAGTAAGTTGGGGAATGTATCGAGAAGTTTGAGAAGGGTATAGAGAATTAGACGGAGGAAGAGTGGATATGCTGTGTTGCCGGCAAGAATTAGAAGACCCATCGTTAGGAGGGTATAGACTGAGGTTTGGAAAGGTATCTATTCTCGTTAGTTTTTGCTTCCCACAATTACACCCTCAAGGAATAACAAAACTCAAAGGTGAAAGAAAAAAACGAACCATATTCAAGTCCAATAAACTCATTCCTGAATTATTAAATGCACTAATCGCATTAAAAACTCCCAACCACCATGGATTAATTCCATTCTCAAGCGCAACATTACTTTTATTATAAGCCATATAGGCACCCAATCCAATTCCTCCCAACACTTGCCAGAGAATGAAATATAGTGGAACTAACCAAGCTAGAAAAGATATAGCTCGGTATTCGACACCTCCTAGGTGTTCTCTTTCGGCTCGTGAAAGACCATGAAATTGTGCATTGCGGCCTGTGGTGTTGGAATTCAGGTATGAAGGGTATTGAAGTGGAGCAAGATCTTGCTGGCCTGTTTGGGTGTGATGGAGTGATGCACTGGTTTCTTGAACGCGATGCTTGATTGTGTTTTCTGAGGTGGATGTAGGAAACTGGAAGTTTGTTGATCGAGCTGGTGTTGCAGTTTCGTTATTGGAACTACCAACTGTAATATCCTTTGCCTTCCCTTTTCCATTTACTGGATATGCATCAGGTGCAAACGTAATATGATCTCCCGTATCTCTGGGTACGCCACCATGAGGAGAGATTTCCGAAATGGCAGTCATACAACTATCATCACTTTTCCCTCCAACTGGTCGGACTTTCAATCCTTCTTCCATCTCTAAAGCATCTCCGCTTCCATTCCCACCACTGGTCGAAGGGAACTTCCAATTGGCTCCCATTAGATCATTCCCATCTCCCCTCCTACTTCCCATAGCCTCTCGACTTCCACTCCTCATTCTTTCTCTCCTCCTCTCTTCCTTCTGTCTCCCAACCACCTCGCCAAATCTAACTTCAAAAGCTCTTTTCCTTGTCCTCACAGTCGCCACACTGACAAAAATCGCACTCCCAACTACGATCAACAACCAAAGAATAACTTGTTGGAAAGTCGTCATCGTACTCAGATTAACCGTATTAAGACCCGCTTCCGTCATTGCCGACGTGACCAGAAATAACGAATCAACATATGATATTGATTTGGAAGGAGTCGACGAGCCCCAGAATATTAGAGAAGTGATGAGGAGAGTTACGATGAAATAGGTGTAATGAATTGTGATGAAGTTGAGTGGTGGTAAGAGGGCAAGGATTGGTGATAAACATCGCATCACTCGATCATACCATTCATCGCCCATGAAACTCTTGAGAGATCGAGGTTTCTTATCCATCTCTTCTCGCGCAGGATGAGAATTGAAAAAACTTCCTCTCATACTTCTTGGGAGAGTCTTCTCTTTGTGTCCACGTGATGGAAGAAGTGATTTGAGCGGTCTGGTAGCAATTGGTGAATGAATAGCGAAGAAAGATCCAAATGTTCTTGGTGCTGGTTGTGAGTTGAGATTTTGAGGTACGGTTTGAAGTTTTGGAACTTCCAACCTTCCAGTTTCCGACTGAAGATTTCTCGATTCCAAATTTCTTGATATCTTTGATTCCGTATCAATTTTTCCCTCTCCCATCCGAACGTTGCTCGCACCCAAATTCCCCTGTTCCGATTTCGTATCCAACGTGTAAATCCCCGTTTCGTTCTCGTGCGGAATCACAATTTTTGGAATTCCTCTATTATCGTTTCCAATCTCCTCGTGCCGGTCGTATGCTTCGTGATTTACAATCTCTAATTCCCTCGAATTCCTTGCTGTAGTCTCGCCAGATGTTAGTTGCCCTGTTCGATGTTCACCTGACATGTTCTTTCTTTGCCTTCCTTCCTGTGTTGGTAATGGTCTTACTAGCTACACGATAGGATATGCAACAAATGAAAACTTCAATTGTTACTATCCAATAGAGTACAGAAGTATCGTCAATTCTTAATGTATCGTCCACCACCAAGAAGAAGAAGAAGGAGAAGAAGTAGCAGTACCGTACCAATCGATAACAGGAAATTGATATAACAATTCGTATACCGAAGCAAAGACAAAGCGTTCCTTCCTTCCCAAGCAAATCTCCAATCTCCAATCTCCAATCTCCAAACAATCAAACAACCAATCAATCACAATCAAAAGTGTGTAAAAAAACAAAAAAAATAAAAACTCCTCAAAAATGACCTCCAAAAACAGAAACCTCCTTCTTCCTCCTCGTCCAGGAAAATCTACCTTATGAACGAAAAGCAGATGAGGAAGGTGTTGGTCGTCTCGTTGATTATGTACATGTAGGTAGGTATGAATGATATGATACCTAGTGTGTATGTCGGTCAATTTTTCTGCATTTTTTTCTTCCCTTTTCTTCAACCACCAACCCAACCGACCTCTCATACATCAAGGTTACCCCACATCTAATTAATCCAACCAACTGTCGGTCTCGATTAAAGTCCTTCCTTCCTTCCTTTGCTTCACCGACAGTTTTTGGGTGCAGGTGGTGATGAGGTGATCAATCTCGATATTGATATTGATATCAAGTGAATTTGCATTCGAATACATTGACTTGAGTAATAAATGAGATACAAGAATTCCTATATGTATATCTACATACCCTTACTCTGGATAAGAAAAACGGTATATCAAATCTGCTAAAATCAAGACTTTCTTTAAAATATTATTATTTCAAAATTGCATAAGAATTTTAAATAATAAAATAAAATACATGCTTTTAAAATTTATTATAAATTATTAATTATGAAATTATCAGATTCAATTAAAAATCAAAAATATTGATTATTAATTTAAAAAGAGAATTTTGGAAATAATATTGTATTTTCGGTGTGCCGTTTATTTCGTCCAGAATCGAGACACCTACCCACCTACTACACAACAACAACAACAACAACAAACATCGAATCTCTCCAGGGCTCTCAGATAAGAGCCAAAAAGCAAAGAAAGTCAAAAAGCAAAAAAAGGTAATATCTAACCATAATACAAGCAATAGAAAAACTTATTCGATCTTGCATTAAAATTACCTAAGTACCTAGTATATATGCACAAACCCTATCAACAACATCACTAATATTACCAATATCACCAATATCACCAATATCACCACTACCATACATACTACATACTACTTCATCGCATAAACATTCTAAATTACCTACTACCTAGTACGAGTAGATGTCATTCAACACCAGAACTCAACCCAGAGAATAAAACAAAACAAAATACACCTCCTCACATCCATCCATCCATCCATCCATCCATCCCCTCCCTCACAACCATCAAAATCTCAACAGAGAATCCTTTCCTTTAAATCTACCTATCTACCTACCTATCTACCTACCCACCTACCCACCTACCTACCTACCTACCTAGCCCTTAAAGCCTTAGAGATAAGCAGACAGACCTCCTTCTCTTTCTCCATCTCTTTTCTCCATCTCTTTTCTCCATCTCTCTCTCCATCTAAACATACACACACATACACATACATACACATACAAGTCTGAATTAATCACCACCACCACCACCACCACCAAAACCACCACCAAAACCACCACTAAAACCACAACCAAAACCACCACCACAACCATAGACCCTTCCTCCCTCCCTTCCTTTCAGCCAACCAGCCAGTCAACCAGCCAGCCAGTCAACCAACCAGCCAATCAACCAGCCAGTCAGTCAACCAACCAACCAGCCAGTTATACATACACAGCCCACAGCCCACAGCCCACAGCCCATCGCTTCAAGCAAGCAAGCAAGCCGACCAACCAACCAACCGACCAACCAACCAACCAACCACTCATAGAGAACCGCAGATCAGATCAACCGTTGTCTACCTACCTACCTAGGTACTAGATAACTAAATCACTCATCAAATTCATTCATTCATTCATTCATTTGTTGACTTCACCAAGATACAATATGTATGAGTAGGTAACCAAAGTTTATACATTTCAAAAAGCCAACATGCTTTTATTCATTCATTCACTCATCCTATCTCATCCTATGCTATGTTATCCTAGCCCATCTCCATCCATCTCATCTGATATATAGACATATACCCAGACAAATTTCTAGCAATATATCTCCATCTCTCCTCCACCTCCTCCTCTTTTCTTCTCTTCCTCACCCCATTCCTATATCCAATCCCCATCCAGGGTATCTACCATTCCATATCCCAATCCAATCCAGTCTAGGCCTTTCACCCAATCCATCCAATTCAATCTTCCTAATCCTTTCCTAAAATTCGTCCCACGATGATGACTGTAAATAACATAGGAAATTGGTGATGTGCATGATGCTGCTTCCTGCCTTCACTCCCTCAATCCAAAGAAACAAAAAAAAAACGCCAGCTGAATGACGGGTGCATCCGAATTTGGTTTCTCCCTCAAGAGTATCCAAACCACCCACAGCTTATCCTTCATCCCACCCCCTTTCCCCTCCCCGTAAACAAATAAAATTATGTATGTGTGTATATTGCATAATATTTAAGTTTCCAAAACTCCTCGCAAAATGATAGAATATCAAATAAATAGCGTACAAGCCGGTAATATAAATGGCTTCCAAATCACCACGAAAGATGGGTGAAATGGTGATTCTGAGTGTATATTAGAATTGAACAATGTTGTATAACATAATGGTGATATCAATTCGTGTTTGTTGGTGTGTTTTTCCTCGAGAGCGATGATTAATTGGCGTCAATGCGATAAATCCGCGGCTCGATCATTTTCGTTGGTGCGATGGTACCTGCGCTATTACCTTCATGAAAGAAGGATACCAATGGTCCAGGTCTCGAATCCATGGGTCGATTGTGCTGTTGTATATAAAGAATGAATTCCAGCTTGTCGAATGAAGTTCAAGGTCCATGCTGTGAAGGATCTCGTGGGTGTTGACTTCTTCTTCCAGCTTCACCTCTAGCATTAGCCCATTCTTGAGCACCACTTTGTCTACCAGGTTGTTCGGCCGGTAATTTCTGATCTTCTTGTCTCTGAGGTGGAGGTGGTGGAGTTGCCATGTGTTGATTTGAAGATCCATCTGGTCTCAATCCCGATACAACAGATTGTGCAATGGATGCCACAACATAACCTCTCAATTCCTTGTCTTCTCTCGCGTCTTCCTTTTCCAATCGAAACCTCTCGTCCTTATTCATGTTTGATCTTCGAAGACCTCGAATTTCGTTTTGGATGTATAGCATAACTTCCTCTGGGCATTTGTTTCTTGGGAGAGCATGATCCGCTTTTCGAACATATCTTCTAGTAACATCGGTCGCACCATCCGTCGAAAAGGCAATACAGTAAGACATTTTCTTACCCCAACCTTCAGCATATAATCTCGGATTATCCCAAGCTTCTTCACAAGCGTCAACATGAATCCATCTCTTTTTCGTATCCGAATAAACTTCCGTCCAGACATGATCTTCGACATTCCAAACCCACCTTACACGACCTCCTACTGCGCGACACAGCATGCTGAAACAATTGGCCCATTCTCCTACTCTTCCTTTGCGCGTTTGTAATAATTGCCATACGTCACTATATCGGGGGAATCTTTCATATGCTCTACAATCTCCGGCTGAACAACGATACAATTCGACTTTTGTTGCTCCGCATGCTGATTCGTCGGGTGTAGGTGGTGTCATGCCTTGGGCTACTGTAGGTGACATGCATACTTGACATGGTGGATTGTTGACCCATGAAAAGAATGAACGTTTAAACCATCTGATAAGAGGTTAGGACCAGTTACATCGGGAATGTAGAGCAAAGCGGCAGAGCGATGACGGGAAGCCAAAGCGCAAATCCAAGACAGCAGAACAAACATACCTCAACAGAGCTCTAATCACACAATCTTGATAACCCCATTCTGGCTTCCTTCCATCTCCCATACTTTCGGCTTCAGCTTGTAATATTTGACTTTCCTCTTCTGCCTCCCCATATATCCTATCTAATGGTAAATGTTGTAGAGCTTCATCCAACAACCCGGGGTTTTCATATTTCGTAGGAGTTTGTGAGATGGAAATTAATAGATTTCGAAACTTTTGTGATTGTACATCTGCCGGTGGTGATGGAATCTTTGGTAAATTTCTTACGGACGAATACGAAGGAGGTGTTGAAGGGTTTGAATTATTTGATGAAGAAGTTGGACGAAAGTTTGAAGATTGTTGTTGTTGTTGTTGTTGTTGTGAAGAAGTCGCTCGTAAATTGGATGATGATGATCTTTCTCTTGGTGATGGCGATGCATTTCTTGACCTCGATTTATCCAATTCATTTAATCGTTTCGTCCGTAATAACCCTTCGAATTGTTGTCTTAAATCTTTTGCCCATGCTTCATCGTATTCCCCATTTGGTGCATTTCGATCGGCCATTTTGATATATTGTTGGTGGTGATGGCGATGTTGTCGAAAGAGAGAAATAATATTTGAATGTCGAAGGTCGAAGGTCGAGGTATTGTATTGTATCGTATCGTATTGAATGGTACGTATTGAAAGGGAAAAAGATGATTCGACACTCCTTCAATCTTCAACCTTCACAACCAATCTTCTCTTCGCTCTTCCTCTCTCTCTCTCTCTCTCTCTCTCTACTGTATGTATCTCTTTGTGTAAATTGTGGCTGATTCTATAATCGAATGAGGAATTTTGGTGTGGTATCGTCCGAGGAATGGTCGTGATAGCAATGCGTGGGTAGTCGAATGTACTCTCCAAGGATAAAAAGGAAGGATTTTAATAAAGTAAAAAGAATTGAAATGTAAATGAAGTCAAGTAAGTATGAAAGTAGTGGTAGAAAATAAAGTTGTATCTCCAATCAATATTTCTTTTCTTTACTCTTCTTTACTCTCTCACTCACTCGCTCACGCACGCAAACTCTCTCTGTCTCTCTCTCTCTCTCTCTCTCTCTCTAGTTTGTCCCTCGAGCACAGCCCTCCAAATCGAACTTGGGCACTTTTTTGGTCGCAATCGCCACTTTTCGCTTATGGAGTTTAGGCTAGGGATTATTCGTAATTATAGATCCTCGTCAGGTTGGTGTTTTGAAGTATCTAGCTAGGTGGGTAGGTAGAGAAGGGAAGGGGGAAGGGTGGAAGGAGGAAGAAATTGGATCTTTATGACTTTATCAATAACCTCAAACAAATTCGGAGTGAAAGCGAGAGCGAGAGCGACAATACTGAGTAAAGAATCGAGTTTGGTCGTCGTAGTTGTCCTAGTCGTCTTAGTCTTCTTATTAGTCGTCCTAGTTCTAGTTCTTGAAAACTAGATAGGTATGTATGTAGTCGAAAGAAGGATGAAGTAAAGAACACCGAATAGATAGTATTCTCTTACAAGTAACAGAATCAAAAGACTCGTATAATACCTGGGTAGAATAATGAATTGTTACGTATGGGTTGAGAAATGGGTACATACAGAAATGGATATGCCCACTGCCCAGGTTAGAGGTGTACGAAGATAGTGTACGACTAGACTAAGAATTTATCGGTACCCGTCTGCGTAAGTTCCCTCCCTTGGACTCAGATTTAGAGTCTAATAACTTAATTAGACTGATCAAAAAAGTAGATCCCAAGATTTTTCCGGAGACCCAGAAAAGTTTAAAAGATGTTTAGGGAACTAAGAGTACTGTGGTAGGTATTATCAACTTGAACAATTCAAACATCCTCGTGGCATGCGTCGTAAGTTGTGACATCTTCCCCAATGGATAGATTCATACAGTCCATCCTGATTCTATCCTTTCCCCCTCAGATGGGAATGATAGATGATTATCAATCTGTTGTAAATTTGCTCTTTAACTCTACTCGACTCTACTCTACTCTGTACACAGCAATAGTTGACTTGATTATTGCAAAAATTTAGATTCGTCTTGGCAATAAATTCGTACGCGCGGTTCAGTATCTAGGTGTCTACCATCAACCGCTCGCTCATCGGGACTCAGGACTTAGAATCCACGTTAATGGAGAGTCACAATGGTTTGGATAATCTGGATTCCTATCATACTACTCGGTCTCGTTTTGAATAAATGCCGACCTCAAATTTAAACGAATTCTTTACTCAAATTCGTGATTATTCAGCATTTTCAAAATTCAATATCAAAAGAATCAATATAGATATTTTATTGAATCTTTTTTTAATAAAAACAGAATCTATTAATATATTATATATTGAAATTTGAGATTTTCAAATATAATATTGAAGAAATAATAATTAAAAGAAATCAGATTCAAAAAGTAATATTTTAGGCCTTAATTTTAAGAAATCAAAGCCTGAAAATTAGTGAGTTTTATTTCTATACTATTGATTCTTTTATTTCTTGAATAATTCAAAATTGAAATAAGATTATTCAATTTTTGAAAAGATATATATAGAATTTGATTAAATATCTAACTAAATACAAAATCTTATATCTTCATTCTTTTTATTTAAATTGATATAGAATTTTGAAATAAATAATTTTTAATAGTTTTTGGTATAATATACACTCGCTAAATTGAGGTCGGTATTCATTCAAAACGAGATCGAGTAGTATTCGGAACTTTTGCATCGCCAAGATTATGCCAAGTCCATGAAGAAAATAGATACTCAAATACTCAAATTAAGAGGGGTTTCATTTACTCGTCGGTTTTAGGATATATATGTTTTGTATAATCTTACAAATCAATAGATTCATCTGAATACCCAGATCTAAGGGAAGCCTCATTACATTTTCCTATGTACATGCTACCTCTTTGGTACCCGAAAAGTTACTAGTTGTAATTAGACACTGATAGATAGTCGGAAGCTTAAAAGAAGGTTGACGTGGGCTACCTAGGAATGGTTTGACCGTTTTGGTGGATTATTAGATGAGAGGAAAGAAAAAAAGTCAGGAGCTGACGACGACTTCTATTTAAGCGATCGACTCATTTCAATACTGAAATCGTCTTTCTATCTGACATGATTGGTTGGACGCATAGATTCGAGATCTTTCTCATCTACACCGAATTGTAGAGCTTTTCCATATCAATCTTCTATAACTTCTCAGCTATCTTTCTAGGTATGAGTGAAGATCTCTCTAGAACTGGAAAAAGATGATTCAAAACTTCACGAAGGATTCCAATATCTCTTGGCTAACGTGTATCATATGAACCATATTGCGACGACAATAGTAGATCCTTTTGCCAACGTTACGATTACCATGGATCAATCTCACCCGATGATACTTGGCACACTTTTTAGAGTGCTGTAATAATATATTGCTACTTTATTCATACAGGTGGTCATGTAAACATCAGACGAATTATATTAGCAGGAAGTCATAAAGATATAGACATAATGCTATATCAAAACTCTAGATCTCCCTTTCACTATGCCTTCTAAACAATTGCATTTCTCAATCATCAAATCTCTAAATTTCCAGCACAATCTCACCCAAAACTGTTCACAAGGTATGGAATCCAAAATTCAAAATCAAAAGTTCGTCACCAAGTACATGCGAAACGAAATCATACCCCTCAGTTTGAGCCTCATAAATATACTTTGTACACTAGGTCTTTCATTTCCTTCAAAGATTCGTACGCATACCATCGGAAACTGGAGAATCCGTCATCATCTCAGGAACAATAGGTGCTTCATCATGAGTTATCTACAAATACCTCTTAACTCAGTGCCTATGGCATTCGTTTCTTAACATAACAATGCCATGTCGGAACAAATAAGTCCGTCGATTACACTTTGTACAAGCTCCTCGTTCGTCTTGGTATCAAAGATTTTGATATACATACACGCAATCCATCTTGGCAGAGATAAGTTGTTTTGAGATCTTCGGGAGTACTCGTATACCACAACACGTGGATATATATTTCCACAAAGACTATCTCAGTCAACTACAACAACAACAGCAACGACTTCGTTATCTTCGTCTCCCTCATTTCCTCTCCCTTCCCCTCGTCCAAACATCAATTCCAACACTTCTTGAATCTTGGCATCGAAAAGTCGTCAAAATCCAGACCTCACCAAAAAACTCAATCTCATCCCCATATTTCTGATTCGTAAAAATAATTTTCCCCATAATCTTTTAAAACCACAAGGCATACGCGTTTTTTCTTGGCATCGGCGCTCTGATTCTCCAAAAAGGTATAGTCTGATTGAAGGATTGCGCGGCTGGCTACCCCTTGTGGCGTGGTGTGTTTGGCTGGTTAAGTACACACCGGTTTAGCGAGAATGAAGGGTGACTGACTGCACGTGGATATGATGGATTTATTTACTATGAATGAGAATTACTTGAATTGAGATTTCGGTGCTGTATCCTTTAATCTGGGTTTGAATACAAAAGGTCAAGGAGGGGAGGTATCGGTATGTTAGTCGGACAATATGGAAAAACATCTACCGGTAGAGAGATGTTAACATAGGAGATCAGGAACAAGACTTCCCTCCCCTCTACTGATCAAATCACTCAACGACCCTTTACTGTATTCACCACGCCAAGCTAAGATTTATCAGCGCAGCGTCTATTTTTGACATTTACCCATTGAATTTACCCATTTAGAACATTCCCATATATGTGTATCATATCAAACAAGCGCTCCTTTCTCTCTACCCAGCCAGCAGCTCTTCCAAAAGCAGACATCAGAATCGAAAAAATATTCCTTCAAATTACCGAACGGAGAATACGGTCGTCTCATAACAAACTTTGTTGTTGGTCGAGCCGCAGGATGTGGACGACATCTTCAGCTGAAATATATGCAGTATGGGATGTTTGTAAGCAAGCTCAAAGCTTCAAAATCTCAGGTAAATTAAGTACTATATGTATATCAAATGTCTTTCTAAAGCTTTCAAGCGCTCCAATCGTAACCTCCATCAAGTCTAATCTTCACACGCGGGTATTTTAGAAATCTCGGCGTTATGAGGTATTGATATATACCGAACAACACTTTAAACCCTACACAGCCTTCCTCCTATCAGGCTGCAGACACTCTTCAAGTACACTTCAAACTTCAAAGCCGCGCGAGATGCCATTTAATGGTCATAGCTTCCTCCATACTTGTTACTTCGTACACCTACCTACCCAGTCTCCAGTCTAAGTCTAATATAGATAGACAGCTAGGAGATGAGGCTCTTCCCAGCCGCAGGAGCCACCACCCGAAAGCGAGCTAACAAGAAAAGTTCATCCCTTCATGCGTACCACGTACGCGTAATATCTTTTAATTTATATTGATTTTTCTTTTGAAGTTGTTGGACTTGGTACGTGGTATGATGGTCTTGAATTTTGATAGGGAGGGATCACGCAAGATGGAGATCATGATGCGCGATTAAACTTCTATTTTGTACGTACTTCGGTGCCTTCTTTCATAGTGCTTTCATTCCTGGTGCACACGTGGTGGTCAAGGAATTACCTGCGTCGTCACTGGTGGATAGTATTCATGTGTTAATATATCAAACCTGGTTGTTCGTCATGATTTTCCGGATGGAATTCATAAGAGGGAGCGCGTTTGGGTTTGGTGCGAGCGTTTTGTACGGACACTTTGACTTGTGTATCGATTTTCTCTCGGTCAATCGTTCAAAATTCATCTCCTGTCAAACCCGAAGTTTTCAAAGTCAAGATGCCAAAGAGAACAACAGAAAATGTGCCGCTACTTGAACCGTCCCTCCACCTCTAGTAATGTGGATGGACGCGTATGTACCGTCTCAATCTATCATTCCCTGCCACGTTATATTGACTTCAACGTCTTGGTAGTGAAGATACTATCAATTTCTTCTCTGTCTCGTGAAGACGGCTTACGAATTTGACCAATTAGACTTTGGGAATTTCGTATCAAAGCTTTTTTATTGATATTGATAGATTCTGTCAAGTATGAGTCTGTATGACTTATCTATTAGTCTTTCAATTCTCAATAATACCCGTATACTAAGTATTCTCCACGAATTCATGCATCCAAGACTTGTGAATCGTATCCCAAGTTCCCTACTCTTCCCACTCAATGATTGAGTCATATAAAGTGGAAATCAATTGACTTATGAATCTAACGTCTCCATAGTTTCAGGATCATCTGTCTATCGTCTTATATAACACATAACATAGCCTTATTCATATTTTCCATACCCTAGAGATTGGCATGATGCATTCTTACTGCCTATTCTCTCCCCTCCCTAACCCACAATTTTCAAGACAGATCTTCATTACTGATGGATCATTGAAGCGGATAAATACATCCATTCGGATTCGGAACGAAAGAGCCCCGTTAATGCTCCGTACCCTTTCTCTTTTTCATTCACGCGTCATCACTTTTAACTTCACCTCTTCCCTGTCAACTCTCCTACTTCTCTCTCACCAACGTGACGAAGCACCTGAAAAATATCTCATTCACGTGTGTGTCAAAATCGTTAAGCTTAAATTCTTGCTCGTCATACGTTGTATCACACGGGAAGCACACGCAAACTTTGTTCTATTTCCACTTATTCACTTCCTTCCACCTCACACCGGCTGGCGCAAGCTCTGAAACGAAAAGGGAAAAGAATGAAAATTGAACCGCAATATAATGTGCCTTGTTGTGTGTTTGTGGGTAGGCAAGCCGTTGGATTGATGTTGACAGGTTGCACTTGAGCGCTATTGCCTTCATTTTTATCCTTCCTGAGTATTCGTTACTATATCGTAATCTTTACACCGTATAAAGAAGTGGAGTTAGATGACGAGGGAAGTACCAATATTTTTCTTCCAGTGGACAAAGGAACAAGCATGAGAAAAGAGCGTAGCCAAAACCCGCAAATTCTATCGTCAATTCTTTTCTTGACTTGCTCGTCACCACAAATTTCTTAATCCCGGTTGCAACTACGTGGATATATGTGCTTTTCGCCATCACTTCGCCAACTGGCCCGGAAGTCTGTCAGCATCTGTTGATTTTAGTAGAATGCAAGTGACCGGTAAGGCTATAATGCTGCTAGTCGCAGCTCGAATGCATTCCTATTACGAGTTGTAGATAAGGCTTTGGATGGCCTGAATTCAGTGAGATACATACTTGTGATGATATTAGGATGAGTTTAATTCTCTTGTGTTTTACTATCTTATCGCATGTACATGTAGGTTTGGAGTTATGTACTTCTGACTGTTCAAGATGTGAGGGTTGAAAAGTATTTTTCGTTGATGGTAGGCAAGTAGCTGTTTCTTGTTTGTATGTGTTTATTCCATGGCTCGCCTCTGGGAAGGGGGGAGAGGGGTAGCTTTTCTATTGCTCAAGGAGCAAAAAACGATTGGTTAAGAGAAGTAAGGCTTAAATTGATATACCGGTTATCTGGCTACCTCTCATAACTTTGGGAATACATAATAGGATATTATCACAAGTGACTGGATAACATGAGAAATCCAAGAACAGGATACTCATCTCAAAATGATATGGCAATATATGAGATATATTTGCGCACTACGGAAGCTATAGAAATGGAGTGGAAGTAGCGATGGAAACTTGATGTGACGGTCAGTTGAAGAGACATAAGAAGACCCATACAACTGACGAGCCCACAGAGCTCTACAGTCACTTCGATCGGATGATGGCAAGATATAGCTTTGGTCGATAACCCTGTATTCGAATGCCTTGTTAATATCAAGATCCCGATTCTTGAAAAGACTACCGACATTGAAATTTTATGCTAACATGATATGAAATAACACTGCAATTTTAACAAGAGGTCTTTCCACAATCCTAAGCGGGAGATGATATGTGTAAGATGTTTGAAAGGGTACAGGATTTGTATGGGCAGTGAGTGTATGTTTATACCTATTTCCAGATGTCAAGTGGCATAGATAGTTGGCGAAGGGTATTGTACAAGGACTCAGAGATCAGTATTTGTCTTGGATTCTTCTAAGTGGAGGGATTCGAGATTCAAAATGGGAATCGTGTATGAGTAAATTGAGTGGTTATTCCGAAAACAAATCACAGATTTATCTGCACATAAATATCTATGGGGTTGAGATTAAGTTTTGTAAAAACATTTTCCTTATATACACTTATTAAACATTAATACTTCAAATAGATATCCCCTTTCTTTAAACTTGCAAAAAAATCACTCAAACCACGCACGAACCATAGGATCATCTCTAATCGTCAAAAATGTCAACGGAAGCTTCTTCTCCTTTCCCCTCTTCCTCTGCACATCCCTCGCTCTCGAAACCGAATGTCCATTCACCATTTCCCAATCCTCCTCCCTCATGATCTTATCAAATTCAAACCTCTCCCCCGGTCTCCCTTCAAACGCCTCACAAACAGAACCATGTTCATATGCATACCGCGAGACTTTATCCTGTCTCTGAGTTCTGCCATCCGAGATTGCGTTCTGCCAATTAAATTCCCGCGGCGACTCGCCGGAGCCGAGATCCTGCCAGCGAGTGAGATAGAGAGCATCTCCACCTTCCTCGCGATCTTGCACCGCGACGTGGTAGTCCGTCATGCAGTAATCGCACGACTGGAAAAGCGGCGATGTCAAGGATCGATTGGAGACGCTGAGCGCGCGCCCGCAGAAATCGTAGGAACAGTCCCATTTGAGATGGGGACAGATGGGATAATCCCAGGATACACTGGCGTCTGGATCTTCGTAGGAAGAATAGTGATGGTTGGCGGGGAGTAGTAGGATTCTTTGCCTGCGAAAGATTATTGACTTTGTCGTGTGCGAGATTCGCATGGTCTCGCGAGAACACTCGACTAATTGAGACGTTGGGCTCAAGGAATTAATGGTTAGGTCGTAGAGAGAGATTGAGAGAGAGATGTGGCGTTGGTGATAACGTTTCATTGCGGCTTGTAAAACGTGGAAGCTCACATATCCTCTTAAGAGGGGTAGAGCGTTATCAATATGAAAAGCGCACGATAATTCAAGCAACCTCTGACTATTTGCAGTACCGATCATGTGGAGTTTGTTGCAGGGATAACATGTAATATAATTTGGAAGATCGCGTGCGAGGATTTGCAGGAAGTTGTAGCGATAGCTTCGATAGAGTTGGATGTTTAAATTACGCTTGTACATATCATGGACGGGGAAAGAGGCAGCCCTGTAAGGCTTTTTGAGGGCGTCGACGTATTTTGATCCGAGTGTGCGCCACAAAGCTTTGCAGGAAATACTCAACAAAGCTGCGGTGTCGGGTGGTAGAGAATCGGCGAGGTAAGCTAAGACGTCGATTGTTAATTCGCAAATGTTTTTCGGTTTGGGAGTTTGCGGCGCGATCTCTGGTGGGTTCGTAGATGATTCAAGGGTCAATAAGCGAAGATCCAATGCGAGGGCTGGGTTCTCGATGAATGAAGTTACTGGAGAGAGTGATTGTTTATCGTCTTTGGAGATCCTTGGATTTTTCTCCGGTAATGCTGCTGCGTCCATACCGACGTCAGGAGATTTGGAGTTTCCCATAATGGATATCTTTTGGTGATAACTGAAGAGTGCACTAGAAGAACGGGCTGTAGAGTGATGGATTAAAGTGATCGATATATCAAGAGATTGAAATGTTGAGTAATTGAACTGTAAGTAACGAATGTATAATGTTTTGACCTGCACTGGTTTTCCTGAAGATATGAGAAATTATCAACCTTTATATAAAGACTGGTAGTCTGAATCGAAAGTATCTAGTCATGTACTAAGAAATAAAAAAAGACCATATATGATCATCGATACATCATACTTTCAACGATAAACGCGCTAGACTCACTAGATCAAAGCTGTCAGAATTAGCCTCCAACATGACCATGGCTTCTACCAGCAAGAAGTCACTAGAATATCACTGCTCGGTGTCCAAATTGTACAGGAGCTTCAAACAAGTTTCTGTGTCCAAAACTCTCATGAAATATATACTACAAGAAAATCGAGAACGGGGAGTTTTATTAGGATATTCAACATGCGAACTATTATTACAGCGAGGAATGGCAAGAGCTGCTTCAGGTATATTCTAGGTATTCAAGCCTCCAGAAGTTCCTGCCTTTCTTTTGCTACATTATGACGCGATGTCAACTTACCATTGTGGGCTCATGCGCAAAGGTGATAATTAGACGAGAATGAAGGGGCCATACGTAGGAGGAAAGAGGTCAGATTTAATCACTCCATTAAGTTTTGGAACAAATCAACCACAAGGAAAATTATCAGTAGATACCTAAAATAACATGTATTATGTGCTTACCGTAGAACCATGAAAGTCAATAGTGTTAGATAAACCCATATAAAAATCTTCAGTCATGATGCTATCTAAAACTTTAATTCCTCGAATGAGGCTAGAGCATTTAGATCGTTGTAGGGTTGCGCTAATGGTCAAGTCCGGGGTTTCTTCCTCCTACGAAAAGGGGCGATGACAAGCATACAGCAATTACACTCACGTGAAGAAAGGTAGCATCTTAGTGAGGTGCAAATTCAGTATTTGGACCAGAGTTTCATCCCAAAAAAATGTGCATACTAGAGTTCGTAATCAACATTCCTAAAAGGACAGAGCGTCCAATGTTAACAGTAACCCATTAAGAAAGCTAGCTTTTTTGGCCAAATAATACATACATATTACACACACGCTCAAATTCTAACACCAAGTTCTCGAATATTCTCGAGTTCATCTCGAGTATGTGGCTTCGTATTAATGGTATCATAATCCAGCATGCGAGAGCGCCAGTATCCGTCGAAAAACTTTAGAATTGGCTGGGCAAGCTCGATGTACTTGCTTTCAAAATCCTGAACTAGTAGTTCTAGTTCGTCAATTTGTGCAGATTCTTCCTCTTAAGCATCCTGATGGTCTCCGATATCGAAAGGTGTGAAGTGATGAGGAGGTGAACCCTCGGAATAGGGGTGATAATACAGCAGGTATGCGTAAGTTCTAAAATCGTGAAAGTCGCAAAGCGAATTTATTTCGGGGGCCAGTATTTTCCAGGCTTCGTTATCGGTACCTATAAATTGGAGCAGAAATATAATGGAAGCACGCATTATCCAGTAAGTCGAATCAAGAGCGATATCCTTCTTCGCTCAGATCAGTAAAAACACTTATGATCTCCTCTTCATCAAGCTCCAAGGTAGTTTGCTTGAGTAATATGGTGAGTGCTGTACATCCCGATTTTGAAAATGCGCATGTACATGGATCAGCTGTCGAAGTTGTTAGAAATCTAAACATGACGTCTCTGACCTCGGGCTGAGAAAATCAATTTTCAGGGCCACCATTTGGCAGTAGATTTATTTCTTCCGTTGTGATAACTAAAAGATCCTTGATAAGAATGCTTGCAACAATGAAGTGAGTGGCTGGACTCCATGAAATCTGTCGGCCTCGTTGCAATATTCTCTTTGCGCGGTGAAGATCTGCTCCTTTCTGTATCAGCCACCAAAGCAATTTGAAAAGACTGGTGACTTCGAAGATACTATTCTACGAAAGGTAAGATTCGGAGAGATTGAGAGTAGAGACCCTGCTGTGGAGATGATACATAGCCTCGCGCGAAGAATTCCTGACCACAACCGACTGCACTGAGAATAAGTGAGTTCCCAGGTATTTTTCCTTTCAAAATAAGATCTTGATGGGCAATCAGGCCGGCGACAACCAAAATTTGTTCTTGATCGTAGAATCTGCAAAGATCTCGTCGAAAAGAACCAGTAGCTGTGTTTTCCTTCCAAAAGAGCCTGTGATTGACAGAGACATCTATTTTTTGCAACTTTGCGTATTGATGTTTCAAATGCTCGATCGTCACTATCAGGAATTAAAGCTTTCGAAGAAGTATTATCCACGGTCGCCGCTAGTTGTTTTTGATTCAAATTCAGTGCTCGCGGGGTTGCTTGTTCGACGATTTCCGGAACGTCTTGCAGCGCCATTCTGACATTTGAAAGTTCCGGAACCATGTACTGATTCAATGATCTAGATCTGAGATCATATTGAAGATGTCTGTCCATAACATCTTTTAATGTTGGGAGAATGGCATCAATGTGCGTGAAACTAGCATTCAAGCTCTGAAGATCCAAGAGACCTCACTTGAAGGTGGTTAGCAGTATACTAGGTTTATTTAGAGACTTTCCATAGTAGTTGCGATAGCTAGCACAAGTGGTAACACGGAGTAGTGAAGCCAAAAGTGATACACCGAGAATAATCACGTGGCGAAATCGTCTACTTACAGTTGCAGAGCCATGATAGCCATATCCACATTAGCCTGTAGCTTGCAGACGATATTCTCTAGTCTTTGCAGGGTGGCTTGACGGAAAGGAAAGATCGCTTTCTTGCCGAGGGAACAGTTCTTTTCTCTCGTACCAATGGGCACACTGAGTTGACATTTCTGAAGAGTTGTTTCAAAAGTCCTAATATTGTCTGCGCATGAGGCGACGGTAGCGGCAACTAGGGTTATAGCTGATGTGTGATTTGAATGGAGGCTTCCCAGGCTTGCTTGTAAACCTTTGAGCGTGGTGTGAAGTGCTTGCGTTCTTTGCGCAATACCGTCAATTTCATCAGCTTGATCGCGATAGGCGGAATAATAAGAGACGATGCCCTGTGAGACTTGCAATCCAGGAGAGACTACTCCAGCCGCTGTACCCAATACATCTGCCATGATGAATATGTTTAAAATCTCTCAAAAAGAAAATAGCTTTGGGATGCAATGGAAATCCCAGTTTATGAGGGTTCATATTTGATGTTGAAGTAGGCTATGCAACTGCCATACTCGAGCCACATAAATAAATCCTGATTTAGTAATTACTCCTACATGCTGTACGACGTTATCGCACCCGCAAGGAGAGTTACACATTAGCCTACGGTAAGCTTGATAACAATATGCCTTTGAGACAATTCGAGAAACTCACGTGGACTAGACTTTTGAAAGGTTGGTAAATAAGCGATGAGATGATTTCCAATATTTAACGTCGAGATGCTCTAAAATCGTGGTTCTTTTCCCATGTATCGTCATTAGACAAATTCCGTTTATGCCATCCATGTAATCTTGTTCTTTCGGGGTACGTTTCTGGTATTCTACTCAGCGTTGCATTTCGATATACAGGAAACCTTAACCGAAAATCACTACTGAACCTCTTTCACAATAACGGGAAATCATTTGTATATCTTGTAAAGGTATCAGCAATATGGTCTGCTATCTCATTATACACATGTATACACCACCTAGATACTTTTTGCTTTTGGACGTCCTATTACATCCTAGCTCCAAAACGCCATGTCCATCCATATGCATTGAGTCTACGCTTGACCAGCTCTCGTTCAAAATCATATTACTCATCTAGCACCTTCCCCCTCAATATAAGGACTTCTTCTCCCACTCTTGATCGCCCTCTAATCTCATTGGCAAGTCCGTTTCCCAGATAGGTCTTTCTATAATTGCCACTTCCAGTCCGTTTTCACCCCCTTCACCAATCTCCACCATACCAAGTATTGGTCTATACTTGAGCGTCTTGTAAGTTTGAGCTGGTCCACCAAACTTCTCATCTTCGCGCTTCTGCAATTTTTTCCTTAGCAGTGACTTTGGTTCCCTGTCAATTTCATCGTCTTCCGAATCAACATCCATATCGTATTTGCTAGTGTGGATGTCGATCTCGGTTTCTTGAGTCTCTTCCTCGTGGATGAGTTTGCGAATTTTACGGGACATTCCTGTCTCGTTCTCTTCTGGGTCAATCATACCACCAGCTCCGGATTTACCTAGTTGGAAGCGCTTGCGTTTGCTTCCTGAATTCTCAGCATCCCCATCCTCTCCCGCTTCTTCATCCTCAAAATGAAAATCTTGTGATAAATCGAACATCCATAGCCAATTGATACCATGTAACCACATACGCTCGCGACCATTTGAGATATCCCATAAACAACCTCTTGCCAAATCTGCGACTTTACGGAATGCAAGAGGGAACGTTGAAGTAGGATTCCTGCGAGACCACGGTGTGAGTGAGCCAGCTAAAACTTCAAATTCATAGACCTCATTAGTGGATGTGACAATGACTAAACGATCCTCGGCAACGGGTAGTTCATGAGATACAGGACGTGGATTATTGCGTGTAGCAGGAGGTGTGGCTCCATTGATTTGTACGGGGAGAGTTGCAGGGCGGAAAGATAGTACAACTGGTGCGGCGGGAAGTTTTGGTATACGAGTTGCAGACGGGTTTCGTGTCCAGTGTTGACCGAAAATCAGTTTTGGTTTCTTCTGATCTTCAGCATCGGAACCATCGTCAGATTCATCATCAGATGCGTCGTCTTCCCCTGCTTCCTCCAACTCTTGCGTAAGATCTTCGATTCCTTCCAGAACCCAAGTATCGACAAAACCTGCCAGGTCACTTACTACCAAGATTCGACTATCAGATGAGAATGCTGCTTGAGTGATAGTTCTTTCATATGCACCAAGACCACCTAGAAGCTTAGTTTTCGAGATATTGCGATCAAGACGAGAAAGTCTTGAGAGCTGAGGAATTATGCTAAATGAGGATGGTGAAGCATCATCCTGAATGACTCGCGCTACTGCGACTGAGCTATCATCCCGAATTATCGATATCCAGTTTCCATCAGGGGAGAATTGAACCATACGGGCCCCAGAAGAAAATGCTTGTGGTACAGCGACAGTTGATACCTTAAGACCCTCACCCTCTTCAGGTTTTCGTGCCTTGAGGCGAAATAACTTTATATCTGATATCGTTGAAACAGCGAGTAGGTTTCCCGCAGTATTCAAAGTCGCACATGTGATATTAGACTCCCCCTTGACTAATATCTTCGCTACCAATTTGCGATTGACTGCCGCAGTCTCTGGCTCATCGCCATTGATGGATTCTGAAAGTCTGTTTATGCGCCAGATGTTTATTTCTCGATCCCACCAACTCATCATCAACCTCTTTCTTGTAGAGCTTTGAATAATAGAAGATTGAGGTAAAAAGGGCAAGGCACGTTGGTTCTCTTGACCCGATTGCGCAAGTGGAAGAATTGTAGGAGCAGCATCGGGACCTACGAACAAATGTTAGCATGCGCAAAAAATATTGATGAAAAGAGTGCCTACCTCCGGAAGCCACAACACTGATTCCTTGACATTCCAAGCTTGCCATGGCCTTTACATCATGAGTGTGATATCTTCTGTGCCTGACTTCTGACCATCTCTTCTTCCCTTTGATTTGTTTGTAGACGACTGTTCGTCTATCCATACCACCACTGAAAAATGTCATCCCATCAGCGCTTGTCGCGAGGCTGAGAACGTCTTGAGTGTGACTCTTGATGTGCTGCATCATACTGTATGTTTTACCATGCCATATTTTAACTTCTCCCGTAGAGTCACCAGAAATTATATCTCCATTTGGTAATGCTTTGACAGCCCAGACGATGATATCCTTGGGTCCTCCTTTAGGTCCAGCTCCCAAAGACATCTGCCTTAGCATTGATCCGGTCCTAATGTCATAAATTCGAATATTGCTATCTGAACATCCGGCAATAACGTGGTAGCGATCCTGGAAAGCGACACTGATAATTTTTGCTTTTTTTGCAGATGGGCGGACAAGAACTTTTTGCAATTGTAGATTTTCATCCGCTGTCGAGTATAAAACCAAAGCTCCGTCAACACAACCAGCAATGAGCTTTTGACACTCTCCGGAAGGCTCTTCTCCACGCTTTTGTTCCTCTGCAGGTTGGGCAGCAAGGCACCATATCTCACCATGATTTCCACTTGCTGAACGTAATGGCTGACCTTTCACCAAATCCCACTCGGTAACAGTTGTTGTATATCCGATGCTGAAGAGTCTAGATTTCCCAATTATTTTTGTGCCATTAATTTCCTCAGTAGGATCTTGAGTCCAGACAAGTCCATCAATGCTGCGATCCTTTCCACCTCGAATGATTGTTTCCTGAAGCCATGATCCTTTTTGCGGGTTCCAGAGCTCGATATCACCGTTTGCGCGACCGAGGGCCAATCGTGGAGAAACGGCAGATTGACCTTTTGTCAAATTCGAGTGCGTGAATGCCAATGCATTGATTGTCGACGGAGGGTATGGAACGAATCTGCAGCGGTGGATATCCATTGCGCCGGTTTGATGTTAATTTCTCATTCAATTCTCAAGAGAAAAAAATAAAAAAAGCTCAAGAGGTTTTTCTGCCGGAAATTCGATTGTAGGCGGTGGAGGAGGAAGGAGTCACGTGACTATGATCGCACACACAGTGCGGTCAAATCAACGTCACATCAATCTTGAGAATCTTCATTCGATTTGATGAACGGCCCAGAACATATCATCTTGCCAAGTTGGCAGGCTATGTAATAGCTGGCAGAAGTATCTTCACTTGGTTTCAATGTGTGAATTTGTGGGTGGATTACAACAATGCAAGTGCTTTTTGGACCATCAAATGTTATATCTCTGTCAGACAGCATCTTAAACTGCTTTTCTACCTCTTTGAGCTGAGACTAGTAATGGAGCTGCAATCCTACAGAATTCGGTATTTTAATCATCATACCAGAGCCATAAAGTCTTGTAGTTCACAGGCATGGTATTTTTAAGCTATACTGATACATGTTCGAGACGTTGTGTCTGAAGTTTGCATTCTGTGCAGAAATAATCAAAACAGATCGAACTTTGAACCTCTGTCGCTCTCCTACCCAAATTCCCCTCCATTTTCTAAACTCCATTCCAACGACCTTAACTCGAATCGATAACAAGCCAAGGGATATAACATGTTTTTTTCCCATTCCTGACAGTCGAAATGAAAGGTGTGGATACATCCAGAATCTTCACATCTTTTGGATGCCAAGTTTGCGGATTCTCATGATTGCACCAATCATTTGTCGATACCGATTCAATCAGAATATTTGTGAATGTTACCGCTCCGGAACCCCAGCCAGGATCGATGCCATTACCAAGTCCCACATGCTCAAGTGTTAGCAAGGCCTATACATTCAACATCAGTTAAGGTTTCGAAGCTTGGATCTAAAAGTGTAGCTACCTGTGTCATGTCTGGGACTTTGGGTTCTGATAGAGTATTAGTACTAATTACGGGCAGTTGGAAGATTGGAATCATACCAAATATGGAGCCATCGAAAGTGTAGTTCCCACCATATGATACTTCTCCTTTTGATGCACCGATTCGACCGGGCATGACTGACCATATATCGAGCCATTTATTGGAGAGTTCATCAAGAGTCCAGAGACTTGTTATTTGATCACCTGGATATACTATTTGTTGAAATGTTAGTCTTCATCATGACCAATCTAAGTATGCATATCTGTTATCCTTCTCCCCTCTCCTCAACCCCTCAGTAACAGAAGAAAAAAAAACCTACCCTTCGGCTGTGTCTTCTCAAAATAAGTCTCAGTCCAACTAGGCTTCGTCGCCCCGTGATAAAAACTAGGTATATGACTCCAAAGCCCCACCTGATCCCCCGCATTCCCAACAACATTTTGCAGAACGCAACTTTGATCTGTGGGTTGCATGCCTGCCCAGGCTGCCTGGATCTTCCAATCTGGGCTATGGCCTTGTAGTGCTGTTGGTGGGGAGGGTACTTGGAGGGTTGCTTGAAACTATTAAAGGGTAAGATATTAGTGGAAGCACTAAAGGACAATAATTCGGAAGAGGGGAAAGAATATTGATCGCTGGGAAAGGAGAAGGAATAGATACCCGTGTTATTTTCCCGCCATATGTGTAGATGAATACCGCGCTTGCGCCTGTATGGTCGATGAGAGTAAGGATAAGAATAAGAAAAAGAAGAGGAGCAAGAATGGAAAACATAATGATAAGAATGAATAGATAAAAAGCAATACGGATAAACCAGATCACAAATCGAAGATGAACTCCGACGTTCCTTGCTTGATTAGAACTAACAATAGAAGATATCTAATAGTCTTTATGAGGTAGAGATCGGAGGTTGGTCTTGCAGTCGAAACATAAATATCGCGAATATTCCAAAAAGAGTTTGTCAACAAGCGAACAAAAGTGCTTCTATGAAAATCCTATAATCGACCCCCAGCAAAACTCGCATAAATGTACCACGCCATCAGCAGCATCTCAGTGACTCATCCCTGAGATATTTTCCCCACCTGTTATGCTACTTAACCAATGTTTTGAATGGGCTTGAGATGTCAGATCGGTACCCCTTCGATGCTACCAAGCCCCCCAGATATTGTTCTGAACAGCACCATGCCAATTTCCAACCATATCTAGCGGCTGAATCTGATTGAATCATTACGGATGGTTAAAACTGTCAAATTGTGATTACTCTAGGTAGTGATTTTGGAAAATAGTTAATAGATACTGTTTGTCGGGGACCGGTAGCAGCATGTATTTAACTACACTGTCAATATATCATCTATTTCCCTTCATTTTCCATATGTTCATATCCTGACCAATAAACCAGAACTTCCCATATGCCCATACCCCAGAGCGAACCTCTCACCGAACAGTATCCATCGAGGTAACCCCCATTGCGCCCCCCAAGTCCCATCCTCACTATCCCAAACCTCTACACCGAAGCCGTAGAATCCATAACAGTAAACCCCTTAAAAACGCAAATTGCCGGAAACACTCTAACAGCTTCTATGTTACTAAGAGTAACATTGCTGAGTATAAGTTTATCAACACTACACCAATCCGTATTTGTTGTGCCTTCGATTTGAATTAGGATATCTTTCCAATTTAGAGGACCCATTTCCCACTTTGCGGCGCGGTTGAGTTCGGTTGCGAGGATAGCCTGAGGAGCGTTAGTTGATTTTGTGAACAGGTCAAGTTGAAATGAAAGAAAGAAAGTAAGAGGGTCGATATAAATGCTACGCACTTGTGTGAAGTCTCCTATGTCGGCTGAAAGTTCCGTGTTAGTCAAAGCATACCCACACTATATTCGACCAAAGAAGAGCCAACTCACGATATGGTGAAAGATCGACCGTTTGATTTCCCTCGAAATTTATTTCCCCATTCGCCAGTCCCTCCGCACCTCTTCTAACCCTCCACTCAACAAACCATTTATAAGACTTTGTCGGACCTTTCCACTGCTCCGATGAATCCATCGAGATAAAACCATTCGAGATCGAATCTCCCGGATAAACATTAATATTCTTCCCATGAATCCTTTTACCTCCAGCTGATGCATTTCCCAGTTGGAAATACTCAAAAAACGACCATCGGCCGAGCGTATTTCCTTCATTGGCGTATACAATTTGTAAAATGGAATTGCTGTTTGCAGGCTCGATTGCGGGCCAGAATGATTGGATTCCAGTGGCTTGGAGGACTGTTGGTACTTTGGGTACAATTACTGTGGCTCGGAACTAAAGGCCCAAGTTTAGTTTGCAGAGTTTGACCGGAATTCTAGGTGAAGCTTACTTGAGCAATTTTAGCATAGGGCTCAAAAAAAACCGCGCCAGTCGCCACGAGATGGAATCCGCCAAAGAAGAGAAGAATACCGGCGAAGACGTTGAGATCAAGAGGACGCATTTTGCAGGAAGACGCTGATTAACTTGATGATTGGCGTGTTTCAATCGGTGTATTAAAATAAAGGAAAGCCAGAGGTAGGTAGATTATCAGAAAAGGCAGGATTGTTAAGGATTACTGTAAATAGCTCGAGTTTCTAAGATACACAGTTAATAAACGATGGACAAAAGCAACATCCCACACGCATCATTCACTGGACCAGACGGAGATAATGAGACACATAATCTGCAACGACAAACCACTGGCTCACGGGGAGATGAAATGAAGATGTATAGCTGACGTAGCAAGTATGGATAGTATATTGAGCGGCTGTTCACCACCATAGCTCGGGAGTTCTAATCACGTCTAAGTGTAAATAACATATCGAAAAGATTCAATGTACAAAACGAATTCGGGATACGAAACGATCTTTGTCGGATTGCGATTCGGGCTGACCTGGGAATGATGGCTAGTCTCAAAATCTAGCAAGACAACCTTCGCGACTCAGGTATCAGTCTTCTCTCCCACCAAAGCCTCAAAATCAACATCACCCTGAGCATTGAATCTCCATATGACATTTTCCCAGCCTTTTCTTCTCTTTATGTTGACTTCAACATCATTTTTAGGTTTCCTAACCGCCGTGCCAAGCTTTTGAAACGCTCTATCCGGCACACTTGAACCGTAGATATCAAATCCCATAATAATAGCAGCAACAAGTGAGAGGATTTCGGTTGTGGCAAAATGTCTTCCTGGGCATAAATGCTTTCCACCACCAAAGGGAAAATATCCCTGTGTTTGTAGTTTCTTCTGTTCTTTTCCCAGTTTCGCAATGGTACTTGGTAGGAATCGAAACGGATTAAATGAATTAACGTCTGGCCCCCAGATTGACGGCGAATTGTGAGTGACGCCAGAAGGGAGTTGTATGACGTTTCCAGCTTTAAGCAAAAATGACGATTGAGAGGTTGATGATGTGAGGATTACATCTTGGGTGACGGATCGGACAGATGTTGCCGCATCAGCGAAACGAAGCGTCTCGCGAAAGCACGACATTAATATAGGACAACGGGATTGGAACAGAGTAATGTCCATGACACATTCTTCTATTCCATCCTCATCTTTGTTTTTCGATATGATATTGGAGATCTCGGTCTGAATGGAAGATATCAAAGCCGGATCTGAAAGAATGTTAACAAGTAACCAAAAACATGTTGGTGCTGAATTGGTTGTCGCGAGGAAAAGCGTAGAGATTTCGATGTTCGCAATCTCCTCGGCCGTGAGACCCCATTTCTGGGAGCACTCTAATCGTGATTTGATGAGTGTACTGGCGGACGTATGATGTGATGAAGCATAGTAGGATGCAAAGGCAGTTTTTATGGCTCTACGGCCATGATAAGCTTTCGGGCAGATAAATGTAGGAAGAAATTCAAGCATAAGCATTGTCATGTTTTCCTCGAAGTCCCTGGCAAGATCAGCACTGACTTACAAGTCTGGGGGCAGGGTGTCCAATAGTCCGAATGAATAGATCAAAAATTAGATATCCCAAGTTCATCTGGTATTGCAATGTACATGAAAGCACAGAATGAATGTAATATAGGGAATTTATTCGACACATAGAAATGATTCAGTACGGAGAATTGGACCCTGGCTGGGGATGTTATTGCTAACCAGAGAGAATCTATGAGGCTGTGATTAGCACTCACGGGATCGTGTGGCCCGTAAAGAGACGCAGAAGTAGCCAACGTAAGGGTATCTCTAATCCATTTATAGAGGGATACTTTCCCAGAGTTCTGATCAAGCTTGTGGAGGATATCAGCAACAGCACTCAGAACTCCTTTGTTCAATTCTAGCAGACTCCCACCGGGTCCTAAGTATTCTACCATCAATCCATGATTCTCGTTCAGGTACGATATCCCATTATTCCCATTCAAAAACGGCCCTTTCGGGTCATAATCTGGTGAAGTTTCCCCGCGGATTATTTTCATTCCATGCTCGCCAATATTGAACGCACGTTTCGAAGAATCAACGACAAATGTAGTAAAATCAAACGCTTTCGTGTTTCGATATGCAGCTTGAATTAGCGAAGGTTCGCAGATAACGTAGATACGTGCGGTGAATATCTTAAGCGTAAAGACCGAATAAAGAGGGTGCTTGGAACTGTAAAGGAGATAAATGGTAAGTGAATGTTCGTCGAAGGGGGTGGATAGCTTCGTGTAGAGATCAAAGGGCCAAGTAGCAACTTTCTCGAGAGTACCCCGCAGGCCCTTTGATGTAGTTGCTCTAATCTCATACCTTAACGTCTGGAAGTAGCCAACTTGTCCCTTCAGCATACCGATCAAATGCCCAAATAGTGGAATCCTTGATTTGACCTCAGGAGGTTCAGTCCCTTTTGTGCCCTCCTCGTCCTTGCGGCCAGGCCTACTAAACAATATCGCTAGCCCAATACCTAAGATCAAGGTAATTGCAATTAGAAGCCTATTGACGTTGTAATCCTGCAACCTCAAAAAAGAAGGAAACATTGTCACCGCAGAAGCATTGTTAAACACCATGGTAAAGGCTCAAGATGAACACAACGCGAAATCTGAAATCTTGAATGCATCTAATGAAAGAGAGGTAAAGTATCCAACCGACAACCAAAGAAGCTAAGGAAACATCGCTCGTAGCAGCACCTACAATCACCTACTCCGTACGAGTACAGTATTGAGGACGATCAAAGCGGAGCATCTTCTCAGTGGGTCGCGGAAACACTTGAAGCCGGAGAAGTTAGTTTCAAGTCCTCAAATTATTTGCAAGCTTAGGACTGGTGGACTGGAGGAGCTCGACCATCTCTTATTTGGTTCGCATTGACCTAATCCGATGGAACCCCTATAGTCCAATGAAATAAAAGGGTTCAATGAGCAACTAAAATCCTTAAAGACTTTCCACTCTTGTTCAACCATTTGATAAAGGAGGCTCAGGATTTAGAAGGTTTGACGAAGTTGAAGGAGCGACAGAGCCGAGAGAGCTTCGATTAATGAAGTCAGTGCTGACTCAAGGTCGGGAGCTCCACCACAATGATAAAGTGTGGCTGGGCTGGGCAACATGGATTTGAGCCACTGTGGCAGCCTGGCAGCTTACCTAAGCTGCAGGTGCGAGGTAACAGAAGATATCCATCTACTAGGCACATGTCCCACCACTCATTTTCACTTGACATGCAGTTTGTGCCGCAGTATGTATGCCACCAACGATGCATGAGATCAAAGAGAATCCAACTCTTGAGACAGACCTTGCCCCTGAACTTCACTTGAATCTTACAATGTGAACTATTCGATATTCTATGCTACCCTGCATGGGAAGATATCAGTACATGCACAGCATCTGTTGACAACGTCCTTGGGCGAATGAGGTTGGCCTTCATCCCGTCGATATTCTTCATGATGGAAGTATCAACAGGAAGAAGTCAACAGTTTTCATATAATCCAGTTCACACAATACGAGCTGCGCATTGTGCAATTTGACTCCAATGATCGAGTGATTGATTCAATCCTAGGTGTCTGAACAGGAGAGTGCATGGCCCAAGATCAATTTGATTCATGGCTTGGGATTTTACATAAAGGAAAAGGTAGTTTCAAATCATGCAATCTGGCTCTCGTGATTCATAGAGCCCTATACATTTTGAGTGGTCAAGTGGAGGGCTCAAGATTTTTTACCTTTGCATATTGTGGCGACTTTCTTCTGCATATTGTGTTGTATAATTTCCCGCACTTTGTTTGTTGTTAATACCCAGTCTGTTGTCGCTTACTGACATGAATCATCCCATCGTTGTATCCTTTCAGATTTTTAAAAAAGAAAACAAAGAGCCATCCATTCAAGAATCGTTTCCCATTCAATTCAATTGACTATGGATCTAAGCGCAATTTCAAACAACAAAGGCGGATCTCCTAGGTCCATGGAACCCCATAAACCATATCTTCGATTGCATGTTATGCTATTAGAGATGCCAAATAGTGAATCATTGAAAGAAGAATTTTCAACTATAGATTTCCTGTGGCTTCGAAGAGTAATTGTAGGCCAGCGTTCTATTTATAATGACCTACTGATCTCTTCATAGAACAATCCCTGGCCAAATATGGTCAAGTTAGTGGTATATCGCTTTTTACACATGCGCAACCTCTACCAGATCGACCAGGGTGATCAGATCAATGAACTTGTCGATTACATATTCAGAAACGGGGAATTTCCAAATAATCAAGATTGCAGAGCACAAATGATTCACCGATGCAAAAAATTGATCCTCTCAACTTCTCAATGGATATCAAATGGTATATTGATGTACAATGAAGAAAACCGTCTGGTCAAGAGCGCAGCTTTCCAAAACGCTTGGAACAATCAAATCATCATCATGCGAAACAGAATCAAGATCACCAATAAAAAAGTACCTGTGGTTGAAGTACCGAACGATATTCCTGCAAAGGTACTACGTTTTTCTTCTTCTTTTCAAATGTTGAACTCACCAATCCCATAGGTTTCGGAATCCAACAGTGTGATAACTGAGGTATCTGTCGCAGCCCCGAGCCCATTACTGGAAGGAAGGCAGAATAGCTCCGAAATGATCACCACTACCGAACCCCTCATCAAAGCTGACCCCGATGAACCTGTAGGGTTAGTTGAAGAGAATAAGACAGTGTCTCGAGTGAAGTTGGAACACCTTGACTCAGAACAAGCTCAACCGGTACTGGGAGATACTTCACTAAATGTTACAGATGAGACATATCATTTTTCTGCCTCTTACTGTCATGGTTTGCCTAATTTTGGGTCCGATATTCCTGATAGCCAGGTTCCACCACTGGACACGACTTCAACTTTTCAGTCCAGTCCTTCACAAAATAGTATCATGGCTGAAGTCATATTCTTCAAGGACTCGAAGCGTATCAACTACTCTTCCGAAGCTTTACTTTCACACCATACCCAAAAGTTCAAAACCTGTGCACAGATAACTGTGCTCACCCCAAACAAAGTCGGTCGAAAAGTTGTTCGTGATGCAATGAGTTTGATCTGGGACAGTAATCATGACTTAGCCATCTTCTGGAAATCGGTGGCTTTGCGAACGTCTACCATGATTAAAATCACGTTCCCTGATGCCGCTTGGTTACCTGGAGTCACTGTTGACATTAATAGCGATGACGACCTTCTCAGAGCTAGACAGATTATCTGGGATAGCTTCTGGATATTCGTTGCCAAGCAACCAGAAACTATTGTCTCGACTTTCAATATCAATGCAACCCCCGAAAGCCCCCAACTCTCGGTAGCACTCTCTAAGCGACAACGGAATAGTGTACCTAATGATGCTATATCTATTCACCAAGAGGACGGCTCAAGCCCTTGTTCCAACGATGCATATGATGTAGCATTCCGAAATTACATGGCTAAAATCAATAGCCAGAGGTCTCACGACAATTCTGTTCCATGTGAGGGAAGCCAAAGTATCGGCCAAGTTCCAATGTCACCAGAATCATTTCCGTTACTAAAAAGACCTGCCAAGCGACCGCGCTTGACAGAACAACAGCCCACAAGAACTCAAACAGAACTTGCAAATACCACATCAAATCCCATACCTGCGGAACAACAGATACAGCCACAGATACCACAACAGCAGATGCCACAACACCAAACACATCAGCAAGAACAGGGTCTGCACCTAATTCGATCACTTGCAGGGTCTCACATCCTGGGATCTGCGTATCATCCTCAGTCACAACGACTCATACAAGCCCAGTCTCTCCAGCAAAACAGCATTCGCACTCAACCACGGACCAGCCTTTCATCGACAGAGACAGCTGTCTTTCACCATGAGCCGAATAATTCATTCGCGTCATACGCACATCAAGCATCGCCACGTACGAACTATTCTCCCCGTTCGCAGACTTTACCAGCGATGCCTCCTACTCCAATTACAACCCATGAAAGCATGCACTCTCAACACATTCCTCAAATTCTCGCATCCACTCTTACCTCTCCGAACCAATATCCTCCTTATACCCACGCATCAGCACCAATAGCTCTTCCTGGAACCATGGCTCGATCTCAACGTTCCCCATTTTCAACACACGTTCCACCGTCAATGCCAGTACCAAGACTCAATCATCACACCCAGATTTTCAATCATCCGGCATTACCCCAATCTCCACCAATTACCCCTCAGTCTCACCGCTTTCCTACACATCCCCCCTCCAATGCAACTCCAACTCCAACTCCAACCCCAACTCCAACCATCCAATTCCGCATCCAACTCCAACCCAACGGCCCCTTCAGCCCCCCCTACCCCAAATCCATCCTCGGCATCCCAGGTAAACCCGCAATCACCACCTCCCAATTCTTCACCTCCTTCACCGCAAACACCAGTCCGATCCCCGGAAAAAATCCCGACTCCCTAACCTTCCGACTCAAAGACGCAGTGCCATTCCCAATCGCATACACCGTTTCTCGATCGGGAACAGTAGATGGAGTCGATGCTTTGGTAAAGCTGAGAGCAGATATCAAGAGAGAGTGTGAGAATGCGGGGAAACTGGTCATGGGATTGGAAAAATTCGAGATTTACGTTAGTATCACGGAAGAAACAAGTAGGGAGAAGGAGGTGGAGCTGCCTGGGCAGGTGTTGGGGGAAGAGTGGTAATGTTGCAAATAGAATGGTAGAGAAATGGTAGAGAAATGGTAGAGAAATGGTAGAGAAATGGTAGAGAAATGGTAGAGAAATGGTAGAGAAATGGTAGAGAAATGGTAGAGAAATGGTAGAGAAATGGTAGAGAAATGGCCATGGTGACTCGATGATCTTTCACAAAACGGTTCTCAGTTAATACTGCACGAAATTTTGACCACGAAATTTGTTTGTACGAAGGAACATTGTAGTCGACGTGTTACAAAACTTTTATCTTGAGTGTTAATTTTACAGCTGATTTCTCGATTCCTTTCAGACGACATACCTACTATACTTGATACCTCACATATGAAATCAAACCACAGCATGACACACACTAATGTTCCCCCCATTCACTTCTCATCGCTCGTAACCCAAGATTCGATCACGATGAAATTGGATACACGACATCTATTAAGAATTCCCAACCTTCTATTAATCTATTAACTATGAATTATTAATTATAAACTTCCATGTATTCTGTTCCAAAAATTCGTCCATCATCCATCATAATCGGAATAATCTGTGGTTAACGCCACTATAAATACAAGTCATCCATGATGTACTGACTAATTTATGTGATACAAGTGATGAAATAACATATCAGTTCAACTCCACATTAATGGTGCAGCTGAAATCACAGAAGCCATATCTGACCCATAACAACCATGACGGCAATAGGACCAATAGTCGAGATGACATAAATAACATTCGAAACAGCAGGTGTGATAAGGGCGAAGATAGTGTTATCGATACCAGTTGACGCAGTCGATGCTTGGCTAGCAATCGGCGGACTGATACTTGCAGATGTTGCAGGAGAGGTGTTTTCGGCCGGTGTAGATTTGCTCGTGGTTGAAGGTTTGCTCCCTTTGTTACTTGATTGGGCATTCCCCGTTGGTCTGGTAACACGTTAGTCTTTATAGCAATGGGAGAATATATGGACGACTTACTGAGAAGTGTTGCCTGAGAATAGAGAAGCAGCACTAGCCACTGCTCCGGATGCAGAAGCGGCGCCACCAGTACCAACACCAGCAGATCCAGCAGCAGCTCCCCCACTATCGGCTCCCCCATTACCAGCTGCTCCATTACCAGCTCCTCCATTGCCAGCTCCTCCATTGCCAGCTCCTCCATTGCCAGCTCCTCCATTACCAGCTCCAGAGTTGGTGCTATTAGTGAAAGGGGGATTTGGTCTAGAAGAAGACGTTGCATTCGAGTTATCTGAGCCCGGTACAGGGTTCTTGGGTCCCGAGGATGTCGAGTTAGATGCAGGCGAGGGATTCTTCGGTCCCGATGACGTGGAGTTTGAACTTTCTGGAGATGGTGAGGGATTATTTGAACCTGATGCTGGTGGTAGACTTTGATTACCCGATCCAGTCGAGTTCGAAGGCTTTGATGCCGAGTCTGAGCATACTCTATGAGAATGTTAGATGAGAACAAGAAATTGTATGAGTATATCCACATACGAGATAGTAACGGTGACAGTTTCAGCTCTAGCGACGAACGCTCTAGCGATCAATTCATGTGTTGGAAGAGGAGGAGCTATTGTTATTGGAATAGAAGCTGCCGGAGAAGAGATGCATGCTGCACAATCACAAGACTCGCCATGAGAATCGTGATGGACATTGTATGCTGCTGCTTTTTTCGACAATTCAAAAGCGGCCAATGAGTGAAGATCAGTAGGAGTTGAGGCTAATTGGACCGATGTGCTCGAGATACTTGGTCTTGACTTTGCCATTGCAATAGCAAGTAGTCCTGTAGCATCACGAACAGTGTTGCTAACGCCAGTAGGATGTGTCACCAAGCTGTTGATATTGGCTAGAATAACGGACACCATATCAGATCTTCCTTGAAGAGCAAATGAGACTGTGTTTGTTCCTTGAGCAAGAATGGCAGAAACAGTGGTAGATCCTTCCTCCATAGCTTGCTTTTGGGATCGTATGTGGTCGATGATGAGAGATGTTGGAGTGTTCAAAGAGTAAGGCGAGCAATCATTCAATGTCGAAATCTCACTTCTAGCAGTGGATGGCGTAGAGATTGTTGTCCTATGAAGCAACGTCAGCTCGAGTAAAAGAATGACTGGTTGATACCTACTGCCAATTAAGACCGAAAGTGAAATCTCTTTTTCCCAAGCTAACACCATCCTTGCGGACAAATGCTTTTAACCCCTCTCCAATGAATACAATTATGAGAACCGAAAAGGCAATAAGTGTAGCAACGACCATGGCAGGACGCCCGAATCGACGTGAAGGCATGATTTCAACGAAAAAAGATTCTGTAAAGAACGTGAAATTGCTTGAAGCAAGTAAAACGGAGTTATGGCTGTATCAAAGACCAAAATTGCATCAATGTATGTGCAGAAGTGAAGGTTACAGAGACGAGGACCAAAATTTACCAAAATTGCATCGAGCGAAAGTTGTATTGAAGAAGTTTGAAGAGAATAGAAGAAAGGAAGAAAAGGGAAGAGAGATAAGATGGCTTTTCTTATTGTTGGGCGATTTTGAATGGTTCTTTCCTCAGTGGCAGACTAGTGATGCCTCTATTTCCATAATTGTCAAGGAACTCCTTCCCTATCAGTATTTACTCCAAAGGATCCTTCCTACCTGCCATTCCGGTCTTCTTAATCGAAATTCTTCTGCTTGCTTGCGCCTTACTTCCATACTTCAAATCATGTAAAAAATTAATCACAGTAGCAATGCAATCAAAATGAAGGCAATCAGTTCATTGAGACATAGCTATAGACCCTAGCTTTTAACCCCATATAAACCCATTTGCATAAACTAAGGAATTATTTTCACAAGCCCACTACACACCTAGTAACGCTTGCCGGCACGGAGAGAATCACCGAATTCCTCCAAAGGACTTCTGATGAGCTTGGTCTCCTTCCATAAGTTAGGAGTCAAGTATCCGTATGTGTTGGCAGCAGCGACGAAAGTAGCCTTTAAGGTGTTCTCAAGTGTCTTGGTCGAACCGGAGGAGGAGGTGTATGCATCTTCAACACCTGCGAGTTGAAGGAGACGCTTGACGGCTGGGGAAGCGACAAGACCGGTACCACGGGGAGCTGGGATAAGCTGGAGAAGAGAGAAAAATTAGTAAATAGATTAATCATGGTATTTTCAAGAAGTTACTTACTCTGACAGAGACGGATCCGCACTTTCCACTCTCCTTGGTTGGGAGGGAGTGAGGAGTACCCAAGTTGGTACCCCAGTAACCTCTTCTAATTGGGACAACGGACAACTTGGCGATGATGATAGCAGCACGGATGGCAGTTGCGACTTCCTTGGAGGTCTTGATACCGAGACCGACGTGTCCCTCAGAGTCACCGATGACAACGATGGCCTTGAATCTGGTACGTTGACCAGCACGGGTTTGTTTCTGGACAGGCTTGATCTGTAGACAAAATTCACATCAGCATCCGTATTTGCCAAATTACCATAATCGCATGAAAGCGATTTTTGTAAATTTCGCATACCTTCATGACCTCATCCTTCAACTTTGGCAAGAAGAAATCAACAATTTGGTACTCCTTGATTGGCAAAGAGTGGAGGTAGATCTCCTCCATGGAGTTGATCTTTCCATCCTTCACGAGACGGCCAAGCTTGGTAACTGGTTGCCATTCCTTTGCCTCGTCCTTGTTTCCTCCACGTCCGCGACCACGTCCACGTCCACGTCCGCGTCCGCGATCTCCTCCACGGCCTCTGTCGCCGAAACCTCCTCGTGAGCCGCCTCTTGGTGCGTCAGCCATATTGATATCGAATTGATCGTTAGGTGGTGGTTGGCAAGTCGGTGGGCGTTGAACGATTAGGAGATCAAGAACTTCGAAATTATTGATTAGAATTTGGAAGTGTGGGATATTTTTCGCTTAAGCAATTATTTAGTCACCCAAAAGTAGATTAGCGCTCTGATGAGAAAAGTCCATGAGTGCCTGATTGAAAGCACTTGTCAGGATCAGGCATTCTTAGAGGGGCAATCACGTGTGCTGCTCATTCTCCTTCCTTCAGGTGGAGGTGTGTTTCTACATCTCATCTAGTGTTTATTGGATGCAACCTTCTATTATATACATATTCTCTCACTCATTCACCTTGATGTAAATCTCTCCATCAATCAACGTCGTCGAGTTTTTAATCACTTACCTACCCTCTTGTGCTCGAGAGAGATCAGCCAATCGATTCATCTATCACAAGTACCTGCTTTCGAATGTGCAGGTATCTACATGCACCATGCTAAACGGAAATCCATCACTACAAGAATCGGTCTCTTCTGAAAGCTTAAGAAGCTGAAAAGGAATAACTTTGCTCGATATCAGACTACACAATAATATACACAGTCAAACTTGAGTATTGCTACCTCATATTTGCCACCTCGTACCAACCAGATTTAAACTCCATGGCACCATACTGAGTTCCAATTTCATAACTTGTCAGATACCAGTATTATCATTCAAAGAAAAGAGATTACCAAGTCCAATCATTCACTCCATTTCGCCTTGGTCGGACAGTTCCGTTTTGCTGCTTCCCACATCATGATTCATCAGAATAAAGAGATGAAAGTTTCATCAACTTGGAAGGATGTCTAGTAACATCAATGAATTCCGTGTCATTGTACATTTTCGTACGCCATTTCCAAAATCATGTAGGTCCTCTTTACGCCCTCGCAATTAACTCCTATGATCCATCACTTACCAAGAAAATGTCGTTTCTCTGTACCGTGGATTTCCATTATCACCTTGTTTCAGTGTCAATTGTACCGCCAACCATCGTTCTTCAGAGTTCAAATGTAAGTATGAAATCGTCCATCTGGATGATTCTGGGATTGGTTGGTCATCTTCCTGGATACCTTCTCCCTCAATACTCGAAATCCATGCGCAGATCCTTGCTACGCTAATGGTGTCAAAGCAAAGCCCTTCTCGCCTCGCTTTAGACCAAAGCAGCGCTATGGCCTGACGTCGAATTCGTCGATCACGACATTTCACTGCAGTGATAACGAGGGGGAGGATTGTTCCCATGTCGAGAGTGAAGCGAGATGTGTTACTCGGGTCATCCGGACTAGAAAGTAAAATCTGAGCTTTGCATATAATCTCCGCAAAGAGATGGTTGTATTCGTCATATAGCATCTCTGTATGTGGAACACTTGATGCAACAAGTATCGTGGCGATATTATAATAGATGCTCAGCATATGTGTCCCATCGGCAGAAATACTTCCAGTGTGTGCTTCTTCGGCATGGACGGATTGGAAAGCCTTTCGCCATCGAAGTAGCTGTGTGGTGTAGTGATTATGAAGTCTGTTCCAATATGGCGTGGATAATTGCTCTGGTTCGGTTTGCGACTTTATGAGATACTTTGTATGGAATTGACCAATAGCGGCCATCAGGAAATCCCATACTTCTCGAGCTTCTTGGACACTATCAAATTCGTCTGGAATGTCCATGTCATCCTGAAGAAGATTTGGAACAGGGTATGGTGGTGGAATGAAAAGCCCTTGAACATCTAGACGGGCAAATAGGCGGCCCAAATCGTCGACTAGACTATCCTGGATCTCGGACAATGAATCGTGCGACAAGCGAGAACTTCCCCCTCTTCGAGCAATTCTCCAATCAGCTAACAATCGAGAACCGCCTCTGAGATGAGTCAAAGCACCTTCGTAGCTTCCCTGAAGAGATTCAAAGGTCATAAATAGTACGCACGCTGTAAGAGATGTTCTTAGATGTCTTCTGCCATCGGAAAGTATTATCCTTAACGAAGCAATGGCTCTACTGTATTCCCTTAGTGCGAAACGGTGGTGTTCATCTAAGTGATGATGATCAATTTGAGGAAATCCCGAAAGTGATAGTCGAGTTGGAGAAGATGTGACCTCCAACGACTTCGCCAAAGCTCCCAAGGCAATAGTCGCATATCTGATGGGCGCATCTTGGTGACAGAGTTGAGGAACCTTCTCTGTCCAAAAGGTAGGATCAAAAGAACCACAGATCTCGGCTGCTGTTTTGTCACAAAATCTTTGAAAATACCGCCGTTCGAGTTGATCACCATGTATAGCGACCGAAGGGGTATACGACATCACAGACATCGGTCGTGGATGGATAGGTACAAGAGCGTTTGCATTCTGTTTGGAGACATCTTCAATCTGCTCTGGAGCGTATCCGCCACACTCGCGACCGAGGTTTTGACACCTGATACATTGTGGTTTGGTTTCGTCGCATTTAACACGTCGCTGTCTACATTTTATTAGTCAGTTACGGATCTGATGATTGTCCGATAAAGATTCCCTAGTGGAGAAATCCCAATGGAGTGGATCCGCAACTCTGACTCGACTTACTTGCATGTTGAACAACCCGTCTTCGATCTCGGACCGCTTTTTCTGAGTCCTTGACTTCTCGATGTTTGTTCTGGAGAACCTTGATCAGGGGCAGAAAAATTATTGAGAAATTTATAAACGTTTGGATATGGAAGCCTCAATGACATTGCTTTTGTCGTGAAGCCTGTACAATTGCCGCATTAATTTACCGACAGCCGGAAGAATACTCGTCGGGATTTCGTCAGGTTTTGTGTGGGTAGTATTGTAATTCTTCCTTCCACTCTTTGTGCTATTTGCTTCAGAGTTCAAAAGGTTTTGTTTCTTGGAGTCTTTTGAATGAACTGGAAATTCTCGCAGTTATTGATAGGAGTCGGTCCGTTATTATTCACGAGAATAACGACAAGGGAAATCTCGTCTTGGACTGGTGACTCGGCCAACAACAGACACGGTTTTATTGTTTTCATGGGCAATTTACATTAGCGGGATAATGCGCAGGCTTCTGGTCAAGGGTAAATGAAGGTGAACGGTATAAGAAGTTTACCGACACCCAGATTCGTTATATTGTGCGGCATGTATCAGCAAGCTTCCAGTCACACTTAGCAAGCATTTATATATCTTAGTGGTCAATCCCCTCGTTTTTCAGTGCAGCTTGCAGCTCTGTACCCCTCTCTCAAATTGAAGAAAACGGCGAACTGACTATCGAATCAGGACATGGCATAACAGGGATTTGCGCCACTAAATGACCAATGACAGATGCCACGGGCAAGGTTTTGTGTGGGCGTGCCAAGACTTGTATCCAGGAAGGTGGAAGATGGACAGGATCCAACACGTGAGAATGTGCCTCTCTAGAAGCTTTCATAGAGCTCTAAGCTTGGCTTATTCAATGTATTGTTATGCGAATCGGCGAGTGAGGAAGGAGTGTGGATCAAACGATAAACATTCATTGGTTACAACACGGTGCCGCCCCTCTTATACAGGAACTAGCGCTTATTAAGTCACTTTCTCACGGAGAACCTAACCGAAGAGCCGGAACATCAAAAATCCCCAAATCGTATGATGAATTTGAAAAGCGTGATACGTTCAAAACAAGAATATTCGCGAATAATGCCTGTTTTAGACATCATGTGGCTTGAGCCAAAACAAGGCTCTTTAAACCTTACCGTCGAGCCCATTTGGAACACCACAATCCCCCACAGAAAGCTGAGATCTTGTCTATCCCATGGGGACGCCACACTTCAGTGGAGACTACCTCCTCTCATCTTTAGGATTGTAACATGCATCTCGTGTGTTTTTCCAAAGAGACTTTAGGAATTTCATTTGTTCCTGCGTTCTAGAAAGACCAGGAGCCATGGAAGTCTTCGCCAAAATCAGCCTTACCCGTCATCAATTTCTTCATAGCAATTGTCATCATCACGTTACCGCGACACATAACATATCAACCAAGGAAACGATGAATCTTCAATTTGGATAATACGGGGTGAAGCATCTTCCTCACGTCACAAAAATTCGGTTCACAAAGGGTCCAATGGGAAAGTCTCCATCGGAAGGAGCGATGCTTGGAAAACCATGCAGATACTCAATTTCTGATGCCCGCAATCTGTAGAAGATCTACAGGCGTCTTTGTATACTCTCTACTAAGAGATATGACTGGGCTAAAACTCGCTTCCATTCTCATGGAGTGCCTAAATGTGCTTGATGAGTGGCACAATCTCACTTAACTTGCAAGAAAATCTTATCCCAAGACTTTTGACTACGGCTGAATTTGCGACACTACATAATCTCTTTTGGTCTAGTGGACGATGATTTGATTATACGTGCGCTTCTAGAAGTGAACGCCCCTCGTTTGTGCATATCTCAGATCAGACTGCGAGTATTTTAAGGATGCCATGCATGATGCATAGTGGTATTCCAAATACCCACATGAATATCATGAACTTGATGCGATATAGAAGCCCTGAAATTCGAATTGGTGAACCACATCCTCGGGATCCAAACTTCATCATTCAAGCTCATTCATTATTTTGCGATGCAGTATCACCATTTGTCGGATTCGAGGCACAAAGTCTGCATGTAGTGTTTGCTGCACAATTTTTCGAGATGTGCATTCATTCTTCAAGAGCCAATTGAAACCTCCCCCACCGTTTTGATAATCGGCAAACATGAAATTCAGCACTCTTTTCTGTTCAATATACTGCTGCATGGACTTGTACTACTCTGCATGTTGCACAAATACCATCGGGCCTTTTTAATAACGAATTGACGGTCTTGATATCATGGTTTTGATCTCCGATATCCCTCACACACTCGCTTTACAATCCACTAGGCATATTTTCTTGTTGCTCGGCCCTACTCTCGCAGACTGCATCCATCTCGTACTTGTCAAAGATATGATAGGGAAGACATCCGCATTTTAAAGAAGCATAACAAGGCTTTAATATTGAAACGGGGTTACAAATTTTCCACCAATTAATTCCCGTCTCTCGGTTAAGCATGACATTAATAAACCATATTGACTCTCAATATCTACCAATTTCAGCCACTGCTACCAAATTTATCAGCTCCATTTCCCAACTCTGTTTTTCTTCGAGGAAGAAACTCTTCCACAAGCAGTAACTCTAGGAAATGATATTCATCTCCTCTTGCCTCTTTTCCCACCCTTTTGTGCAACCATACCATCATCATCTTGCAACCTCTTCTTCCCTCGTCGTCTCACAAATGCAAACGTAGAGCATTGCTCGGCCGTCATATTCCTCTTGCTGCACTCGTTACAAGGAGGACTTCCCAAACAATCAAATCTCTTCTTCTTTCGTTCGCATGGTGGGCATTTTGGTTTGTTTGCTCGCGTGGCGTCAGTTGAGGATGGGCGCCACACGCGCTCGCGATCGGGGAGCGGGGTTCGGGGTTTGCAGATATTTGGGTCGCTTATCGATGACACTAGTGCTTTGGGAGTAGAGACATCTAAAGCAATTTCAAGCGCGTTCTCTGCTAATTTACGAAGTTGCCAATCGCCGAGGGCGCCAAGGGGCTCTTCGTCGGAACACTCGTTGTCTGCATCGGATCCACTGTGATCTTGAGGTTCGTTATCGGGTAACTCGGGTAGCCGGGGTACCTCGGATGAACAGTCGGATCGTTCCGGAATGTCGATTTCGATGGGTTCAGGTGAGGGGCTCAGAAGTTGAGGAACCTCAATCTCAACGGGCTCAAGTATATGCTCCGAGTGTTGAGTGATTTCGACCTCAAGGGAATCGCCAGGAACTTTGGGCTCGGAAAGTCGTTCCTCGGGGATATCTGTGGTGGAAAGCTGCAAGTCAAGATCGGGCGAATTGGGAAGCTCATTCTCCTGAGGTTTGTTTTCTGCAGAATCTCTACCTGGAGTATGCTGAGTGACCTCGCTGCCGTAGGTTTCTTTGCATGGTGAGTTTTCGTCCGACCGCGCGTCAATATCAGAAAGTTCTTCCTCTGGAGTTTCGACTTCAGGGGTTACACTTCCTGAAGTTCCAGGAGCAATAACCTCACAAACCTCAGTGATTGGAGATTTCTCTTCGGACCGTTCTTCAATAAGTTCTTCATGCTCAGAACTCTGAAGTTGTACGTTGGAAGCTTGGTTTTCGTCCTCCATTTTCGTGTTACAGAAGAGAAAGGCTGACGAATCAAAAAAGGTGGAAGGGGCAGCACGCGCGTATATAAGTATTACACAGCGTCAAAAGCGAGATATCAATGAAAGATTATGCGGTAGAACCAAGCAATCGCACCGAAAGGCAGCCTCAATGCACCTTTGACCAGTGGATATGCTGTCGGCAACATATCCAATTTATTCTATCCATGCTATGATGTTTCCTTGATGATTCTTGCGATTTCATTCTGCTGGCGCACACCGGTGATACGGGCGGGTAGACGCTTGGCGCTGGTAGCTTTTGACAAGCAGCTCTTTAACTTGTCAATGCAAACAATACCCTCCCTGGGCAAAGGTGCTTTGATGAATATGGTTTGTGAGCGCAGATCAAGCATCTCAATCCGTTTAATAACCGAGCCCATTGTGTGAGCATGAAGCTTCTTGGCAATATTTCACGATCTCATCCAAAATGCCAAGCGTTCCACGGGTAATGTCTTTGTTACTCTGATCTCATTACAACAATTACTAGAGAAGCTACATTGCAAAAATCCTACTTTCCTCTTTTTCATCTCATAGCCCTGGGCATTTCTATGTTATCCAAGCCTACATCTAATTGAAGCAAAGCAATGCACTTGTGTTTTATCATATGATGTCACTTATTTCTTTCACACTGTAACTTTCCACTTCATCCAATCTTTCAGGTATGTATAGTCAGTAGCTATCGAAGTGTAACACAACAATGAAAGACAATAAGGTCTTGACCACAAAGTTTTAACAACCTAAATGCCTTATACACTGCACACTACAACCTCAGAGATAACTGTGTGTAACTTCCTATGGTTTTTCTTTTATTTTTACTACCCGCCAAAGCTTTTCTTTCTTTCATGACTATTGTTTTCATCGTCTCATTCATTGTCACTGTCGTCGCCCCTTCTTTCAATGACTCTTCTTCATCTCACTCGATTGCCCATATTCATGGTGTTCTACAAACTTCACGAGCTGGGTACGAGAAGCTTATGTCCGAATACTATTTTTTCATTATAACACTCATCCACCCGTTTTCTTTCCTAGCCACAAGTTTGTAAGTTCTCTATCAAGATCTTTTGAAATGATAATGGAAGCTTGGTACTGTGGTATTGAATCATCTCATCCTCCTATTTTGTGGAAGCAGCCAGCCGCAAAATCTTGTTTGTTCATTCAGATGTTGAGTTGGGATCGTTGAAAGGCCAGTACGGTACAGTACGTGTATTGGATGGCAGCAAAGCAGACAAACTTTCACAGTGACTTGAGAATGGAGAAAGAAAATATCTTGACCTGGGTCTCCATGTGCTCGCACCCCGCGATGCAATTTTCCTCCGTCCAAAATCCGCTTCTGTGCTACAATTTCTTAGTAATGAGTGGATGATCATCTCCGCCATTTGATCTTATTCGCTGTCATATTCATCAGCTCATTCTCGCACTTTCCACTGGGGTCTCGACTGCTTGATGTCATGATTCCATCACTAAAACCTCGAAATCACACTCCACCAGTGCTCCTCAGTGAGATTTTTTGTGCTAGCTAAGTCCCAAATATGCATCTCAATATCTGTAAGGTTTGAGAATAAGGGTTGAAGTCTTTGGAGAGTGAGGCTTTCAGTACTATAGCCAGTAGTATTTATCATGTTGGGGCGGGGGTATTCTTTGGGAACGTGGTAAATAGCGATCAAATTTAAACGGTTTATAAGGTAGTACAGTAATAGGAGAGCTAACCCCAACAAGTAGTAGCACGAGCCCTATCAAGAGACTGGACCTTGTTGAAACTGATTATTCCGAATAGCCTCTTCCTTAAACTTATACTTCCACCGTATCCTGTGATAGATCATTCCTTTCAACAGATACATCGTTACCTCTTACACTTTTCCGAACAGGAAGTCCCCCTTCGGTATATTCTTCCAGCGATTCTTAGTGTCGGGAGATTACTTTCATCATAATATCGTCCTCCTTATGGATTTAAAGGGTTGTTATCGGGGATCTTATTTCAATAATCACTGGGCTCTCATTCCTTATAATTAGAGGGACTCTTTCCATGTAAACCCCAAAAGATCTTGAGATACAAGATCAGGTGGCCAATCTAATACTTCTTGAACATGCCTACAATGAAAAGAACTTCCTTGCCTCTCGACTCAGCCCAGCATATACTGGTGATTGGGTAGTTCCTCTTAAGATTCAAAAATATAAGTGATAACTGTGATATCATTCATTATCGCTTGATGGTTCTTATCTCACTCACTGTCATCATCTCATCTCATCTTTTGTTCGCCGTCCATTTTCTACGTTCAGGTTCACGGCAGCAAAAGTTTCGCGGTGAGTCTAGCGATCAATAAAACACAAAGTTTCTGATTTCATTGTGACTTTCCTAGCCATCCTTTGGGGCTTCCTAAATCTGTGGTACGTCGAGGCATTGAAGGATCCATTATCCCTCAAAAAACACGTAGAAGAAGGACTGGCAAAGTGGATTAGGTGTAGTGCGTCTTTTATTAAAAGCTATGTACAATGGAGTTGACTATATCAATCGCTTTTATTACCTAATACACCTAATGCTCTTTACATGCTTTCTCTCTCCTTCTGAGGGCCCGTTCGGATCGATATTTTGATTTATTGCCAAAATAAGGTTGGCGTAGCAATTTAGCGTCAATTTTGTAGGTCCATATAATGTAGAGCAATTTCTTATTTATATGTGCTGGTCGAAGCTCTATTGCAGATTTGGTAAGACTATTGTATAGATTCCCACGAGTTTCTAAACGTTGTAGATCTATATTTGTGGACTCGATATGGTAATATTTATTTATCTGGTAAGCTACTTTTATCAATAATATAGCCGTATAAAGCCAATCTAGTGTTCAGTGAGATGATATCCATAGGTTGTTCCACTCGTCAATGTTCAGTGTTATTCACTTATCGCGGGTTGAGAAGAGCAGTCCATCTGCCACTCTGATCAGCTCAAGATGAACTCTCGTCTTACACTGAAACCTTAATTTCATGGTCCCGTGAATGCAGTGTTTTTAATGTAGGTGCAGGTGGTTATCAATCGTATCCTGACTCTCATCCGAAGAATGAATTACATCATCCATAAGATTGGATATAATGGTTGTTGTTATTGTTATTACTTTAATTATATGGCTTTGCTTGCATTCGAGATTGATCGTAGTATATGTTGGATTATTCAAGCCCCGAGTACGTTGTTATGAAATCTGAAGATCGAGAAGTGGAACATTGAACTGTTTGGACAACCTTGGAAGGTCTAGTAGGTAGAGTTGATAATAAAGACTGGTAGCAGTGCGTAACTTCATAGCCAAGCAATCGAATCGGACTCTAGGAGTATGGCACAACCTTCAGTTATATGAGCATCAAGAACCTATTTTCGATAACGATCTTCTTCAACGCTATACTTGTCGAGTCCCCATCATGTTTAATCGTTTAATGGTTGTAGCGAGATACTACTTCCGCGGCAACTCCGGCTCAGTTCTGATTTGGAGGTGATTGAGCTCGCCCTGAATCCCTCCATATTGTAATAAGAATGACTTTTTATCCTTCCCTATATTCATAGTGTTGATTTCAAGTTTCGTCATGCAAAGTTTGTATTGTGCGAAGGTATTTAAAGCCTGTTCGATTGGTGGGCCTTATCGACAACATTACGACAAAAGAGAGGCGTTCTCGAATCTTATAATCGACCAAAACCAGATATGAGCGCATGTTTCCTCGGCGTAGCCAATGCTAGTGGACGTTGAATGGGGTCTACCCTATGGAATCGAATGTATTCTTCGTTCGCGAACCGGTAAGGAGTCTTGTCAATTTTACTTTTAATCGCTCATCGTGAGTTTTTGGCGCAACTAGTATAATAAAGCCTGGTTCGACTTTCTCTAAATGGAATATTTGATAGTAAAAACTTCCGGCCATGAAAGTAAAGTTTCATGTCTCTTTGGAAACCACCGATTTGAACATACCTAACTCCAATACGTGTGTAAATCTTGATAACCACCGAAGCAAATATCCTGAAAAGTACGGCCAGCTGATTCCATTGTGCGCAACTTATTATAGTAATAACATATGGTGTAATTTAGTGGAGCTATGTCGAGAAGCTTTCAAGTTTTTATCCGGGGACGTATTCCTTATTCTTCGAGAGGGGTCCAAGTGCGTGAAACTCTGAGGTCCTAAAGCATGTAGATACGTTGACAAGAAAGAGATAACAAAGCAGCCGATTGAAGCGGTGAAGAATCGACGATGACTAGCAGAGTCTTCTTTGGCATGTTGAGAAGGCCATGGAACTTGATCGTGGAAGTTTCGATGGGCGACTCCGTAAGTGGTTCAGTGAGTGATTTAGCTGTCGATTTCAGATGACAAAGTGTGGTCGATTTGAGCGTGGTCGAAGGATATTAGGGCAGGCTCGGCTGAGAAAGAAGGACTAATGGTCCAAGACGATATATCCACGGCCCATATTTTCGTGATTTTGATCTCCCATTTTCCATCATAAATAATCGGTTGTCGTATTTTGGATCCAATTTGGCTGCAACTTTCTCGAGAAGTTTCGAAGGATCACTCAGAAGACGCCGTATGATTTAGTCGATCGAAAAACGAAACTGCGATTTGGACGAAAGAGTACGGGAGGTCCATTGAGCCGCTTAGTATCATAGAGCTTGTGTAGCTAGCATGAGTTCCAATAGATAGACAAAGTACAGACTGAGGTATAACTGTAAGTAATAAGTCATTGCTGGGAGATAGCCGGGTTCTTATGCGATTTCGAGATTGCAGATCTTGGTGTTCAGCTTGTAGGGTTAGGAGAAGTGATTCACGTCATTACTGTCGCGGTAAGGCCATGATACCACTAAAATCTCACCTGCCATATTAATCCCTAGTCTCTGTAAGTTCAATTTATTCATTCGCAAAATTCGAACATCGCTAGTAGAAAGTTTAATTTCTAGGCCCACAGGGACCAGGGGTTCGGAGACATTCAGAGCTCTAATTATTCG